ATACACACACACACACACGTACATTTAAAAGTTATTGTATTGACAAAGGGCCGTAACATTATTATTATTAATGATAAACGGGGGGGGGGGATAAAAACGATTTCAGCCCATTATAAAGGCTTCAAAAACAACAGCGCCTCGATTGCCAGTCAAAGTGCTGACAGCGTAGTTGTGAAAAAAAAGTGTTTCCATCCTGCCTCCAAAATCCAACCGACTCTGGGCCATTCTGAAATTGCGGCACAAACATTTTGTCACGCATGAATTGCAAAACAATGCTCAACGGATTCAGTATTCTGCAACAAACGTGGCGGACTAGCAGGAGAAAGAGAGAGAGAGAAAAAATATGCCCATGAATCAGGTTCGCCAGATTGAATGCAAAGTAAAGTACGTGGGCGTGGGCAGGAGGACACTTTCCTAGAAATTATCATTGGATGATGGATGATGAGGCTGCTGAGGAGGTGGCAGCTAAAGGAAGGCAAACACGCCGAGCAAAATGACCATCCACGCAGCGAGGGTGACCAGATCAGCTCACGTGCAGGAGCGATGTGGATTGGGGCGCTGCAGCATGATAAGGGATGGCATAGGTGTACGGAGGCCTTCATCCAGCAGCTGATAGAGCAGAGCTGCTGACGTTTGTATAACAATGTAATGTGTAGCAGTGGAAATGGCATAATCATTGCGCACTGCCTTCTCTATATGCCTTTCGTTAACCGTAACATTGTATTTTACTTTTATACAATTCTGTTGCTTTGTCCAGACAATCAATCTTTATAGGCCACACTTTATATTAAGGCACAGCGATGTTTGCCTATCATCCTTTCATTTATAAAAGCATCCTGCATTTAAATGCCATCAGCTCAGCACTTTAGCTACACAATGTCTCCTGAATCGTAAAGGAGGCGGGAGATTGCAAACATAGGCATTGTCAATATTGGCCATATAGTAAAATACCTTTTTTATAGATCCATCGAGAGCAGGATATTGGAGAATGGGGACAAATCACTTGACAATTCAGCCAGCAATTTTAGCACGATTGGCTCTCTAGTTTCAGAATAGTGGGTGAAAAAAAACACATTGATGTCCCTAATTGTCAAGCTTTGATCAATGAGGAAATCTAGTTTAACAATAATATCGATACTCGCACGATATATTGATTCATTTAAATAGTGTTTATGTTAATCATTGAACAGGATGTCGTTGGTATATATATAAACTCGACAGTAGCCATGACCTATCCACTGCTGGAGAAAAGACTCCCCAAGTCTTTGCCATGTCTTAGGGTCTACCCCAGTGTTCTTCATTGCGAGGCCCGTGGGCCACTGACGGCCCCTGGTGGCCTTAGGTGTGGCCCCTGACGTGCGGCCCCCCACAATACACAACACGTGACACCCCCCCCCCCCCCATCATCGTCATCATCGTGCTGCTGTCAAACCCCATTGGTTTCAAGCGTGTCGAGGCCCTCACACTCTGATGATGATTTATCGGCAAAAGTGCCCCCCCCTCCATCCCCCCCCTCTTAAAATGTGTGAACAACAGTGCTCGAGCGCCTGCACATGAGTTGACCTCATCACTTCCTTTAATTGTGCGACGTCTGTCGGTGTTATTCCAAGTGCACACATCTCCACGCTTCCTTTGTGCACCCTTGAGCCTTTGTTACATTCTCTTTATCAACGGAACAACATCACGTTGCCAATGTCACGCGTCTGTAACATGAGTAATGTTGTTAGTGTACTATATGGAGTAGCGTATTGAGTCGTAATTTTGCTTGAACGAACGGCACGTTTGTTTCCCATTACCTTGAGCGGGTTTGGATAATTGAGCCCTGTCGCCCTCCTAGCACAATCAGACACACGATTGAAAAGTTTGCGCGCGCATCGTTACGTTCGTTTGTCTTTGTCTGCAGTCGGATGCATCGCTATGCTCGTACCCTGGCTTTTGCTTAGAACTTAAGTGGCACGTGAATTCAAACGTGAATAATTCCTTATGGTGTGAGAGGGCTTTTACTCGGTGCCAGGTGAATATGCTTATGTGAAATGCGGTGAGGCATTCTCTACCAAGGATGCACTTTTGATGTTAGTAACCAAACAATTTGAGGCATGTTCTTAAGCAGGCCATTACGTGAAATTATGTACCTTTTTTCCCAACCTTTTGACTCATTACCGCTCGACTTATATTTTACCTAAATATTGTCAATTTAAAGCTTTCGTGACTGCAGGGATTCATATTCTTGGTTCTTTCGGTAAAGTCACGTAGTTGCTGTCCGTGGTGCTAACGTTAAGAAGAAACCGCCACTTTTTTCAAATGTTCCTGCTGTGGTTTTCACACCTGATGATGATTGCTTGTGTTGCAATCGAAACGTCGTGAGAATTTTATTGTTTTATTTGTATTATTTTATTATTTCCCCTTTTACGTGACTTTACCGAAAGAACCAAGAATATAAATATTGTCAGTTAAGTATTTCATCACTCTTGTGGTTAGCTTGACCTTCACAAAGATCAGAAAGTGTTTATACATATTTTTTTATACGTTCATTCATATAAATGTATGCATGTGTGCGTTTGCGTCTATGTGTTGTGTTATGGATATTAAACATTACATGTATTAACCTGCGTTAACAGGGACATTACTGCGCTCAATTTAGACGATCGCAAAGGTCTGTTCAGGTAATTTAAATGCATGACGTTTCAGCCACTTGTCACTTCACTGAGATTAGTCTGTCACAAAATTAATTCAGGTGTCAGAAGCGTGTGGATGTTTATTGTCAGTGATTTCTACCCATATTCAATCTATGTCGTATGTTACTATATGTATGTATGTTGGAATTCTTTCGCACTATGCGTAGCCCACAGTGCCAATCGGAGGTGCTAATCGGAGCACAACAAACTAAACACAAAAGGCAGCTCTAAAATAAATGAGTTTTTAATCGAAATTTAAACGTGGCATTTCAATAGGAGCCTTAAATATGCTCCCTACGATGGCTCCAAATTGACACCTATGCCTTCGAGTCTCATCGCAGGCAAATCTGTGGCAGGACCTTGTCTAAAGGGGGCATAAACACTTAGGCATGACATGGTCAATGTTAACTGAACTTCACACAAATGTTCAACAGATTTGCTTGTGCCTGTCATGCATCCTGCCCGAGCTCTCACCTCGTGTATCGGAGGAAAGGCCGCGACGACAGTCGGTGAATTGCCACCGGTGGTAATATTTGTACCAACATTGTTGTGATGCCACGTGGGGCTGATAGCTAGTCGGTGTCTTAAAACATCGCCCCACCACCTTCCTAAGCGCACCGTGGTTGGAGCGCCAGGATTCAATGCACGCAATGCATATGTAGTGCCTTCTATGAAACATGTGTGCAGCATGGTGTGTGTGTGTGTGCGAAACACAACGACGGTTCCCATGATGACACTGCTTGTAATTACTAGAAAAACGTCGTGCTCGAATTGTTAATGTTGTGGGTTTACTCTCGAACACACCGGGTGTGCTGCAGTAGTGTCGTGTACTAATTTAGAGACACTAGTAGGAGGCGTTATCCCTCTTGTTTATTCAAGCGCTCACAGCCATAGGGGATAACTCCATACGGGGTCGGGACAGCCAACACGCTGCCAGACCCACAGCTTGAAGAGGCGAAGACCACGACGACAGCAGCACGACGAGTTCCATTCCCGATGGCAGCAGCCCCGACTGTGGGTCGGAGCTCGCCTTTTATTCTCTCCAGCGTGGCGAGGCTCCGCCCTCGGCCACGCACCCTTCTGGATCCCCCAGAAGGCTCCGGGCTTGGCCCACGTGTCCAACTGGTAGAACGCGCTGCTACCCCTAATCGCATTGTCTACCAATTTCCCAGCTCCACGTGCTACAGTGACTCATTCAATGTCACTACACTAGTAACAAATTGGCATATTTTGTTTTCCTGACAAACCTTACTAATTGGCTGTGTCGGTTGGTGGTGGGTTTAACGACACATTTATATTCCGAAAACCTCTTATGGATAATATTGGTCGCAAAAGCCTACTACGTATTCAACCATAATCGAGGAAGTCGCGAGTTGTGCACCGAATATTTCCGCAATGAGCTGGAGTGCAGAAAACATGCCGCTCGAATCAACTCAATGCCAAGACATTTCATTCAAGTCGTATGGCAGGAAGGATCGTCTCGAACTCCACATTGCTTTTCATCAGCTTGAGGGCTATTGTAGAGGGTTAAACATCCAGGTTGAAGGTTATGCTCTAGCAGATCGAGTCACTTTAAAAGGAATGCAATCACAACATTTCCATTTGTATTGTTAAGTACATCATGATAGCATTTTGTAAAGAGAGAGAAAATAAATCACAATAAAGGGTCTTAATGAGCAGCATTAAAATTTTTGGTGTACGGTATTGGGAAATATTTTGCCATCAAGAGAGACGAATATTGAAAGCAACATTTAAACTTCATTTAGAACAGTAGGTGAATAATTTTAAATAAGAGAATACAGAAGGCAGGCATTAAGGTAGTATGATTATTTATGGTATATGATTGGGGTTTAACAATGGCATATTGCTTTGCACACTTACACTATTAATCAAGTGACCTGAGTTCAATTCATGGCCATGGCTAACAGCGGTGAGTGAGCTGGTCTCCCTCCTTCGCTGACATGCACTGACTAGCATAGCGAAGTAGCGTTGGGATAAAGGCCTTCATCCGGCAGTGGATTTAAAAAAGGCAAAACCATTCATATGACAATTTAAAGAAATGAGGAAATGTAAAAAAGAGATATTTAGGTAATATTCCATTAACATTTGGTATAGCATTGGTATGCACCAAAGTTTTACAATACGGTGCTTGAAGACGACCATCGCCAGAGCATCATTCAAAATGTGTTGATTATCTGTCAATTGTGCGTATGTGTACAGTTTTATGCAATTGACGTACACACCTGTATGTTGCGACGACCAGCAACACGTTCAAATTAATCGACGGCCGTGACCTTTGACCGCGCCTCCATCGTCGTGTTACAGAGGAGAAGCGGCGCGCCAACCCGGAGCTGGGGGACTTCAGCGCGTTTAGCGGCGGCGCGGCGAGCGTGAGCCACGCGAAGTCCCACGGGATCCTCTTCGTCTCCGAGGTTCTCAAGTCGGACACCACGTCCACCAAGATGGAGATGGTGCTGGAGGAGGCGGCCGTCATTCCGCTGGGGGCCGTGACCGTCCCCTCCCCGGCCCACTGCTGCACGGCAAGGAAGTGACCCCCCAGTATGCGCGCGCGGCTGTGCTCGTCTCTCTGCATTCCTATTCGTTCGGTCTTCGCGCCGCTAGCTGCCGTATTTTCTCTCATACCCACTTTTCCACTGGCACATCTGAGCTGCGCCAGCGCGGGGCCCTCGCAGCGCTGGGCGGTTTTCCGGGATAATTTTTGGCGAGACTGAGCTAGAACCAAAACCTCGAAACGCTGGCCTCGCAAGGCTATACGAGTCTGACTTGGGACAGGGTTATTCATTTCCTTCGTACATCGTGTCATGTGCAAGCCATGCTGCTGATGTCGCCACATGTTCGTTGTGTTTGATGTCAGTGGCACGGCTCTTGATTCTGCAGTTCAAAAGCAACCTGGCTGCATTGGTGCGGGCTCTGCATGGCCCTATTGTACGATCGAAAATAGGTTTCTTTTTCAGTTGTTGTTCTGCAACAATGTTCTCCTGGGTAGTTTATTTTTCTAAAATTTTCGTTACTTGATTTCAGCAGCATTTCGTTTTCGTATGGGTTCAAATATGGTTTCGTTGCTTGGTTTTGTGACAGGGGCAGAACCGGTGACCTCGGAGTTGGTCCATCACACAGATGACATTGGCAACCATTAACATATGTCAACTCATGTTGCATATAATTCCTGTGATTTTTTTTATTACCGTAATTTTCTGATGCAAACTGTCCATGTTGCTGTGAGCCATGGCAGAGTTTTGGCGAAATCAAATGCATTTCAAACAAGTATAAACATTAATTACAGCTGGATATTTAATGACCACCCTAATGTATTGACAAATTGCAGTCATGCATTTGGAAGACAATGCCCTGCATAAAGTCTGCCACTGAATAGAAAATTTACTGGACACTCTTTAAACGTTCACCAAACGAATACGAAAATACCGTTTTGTTAACTGAATTGAGTTTGCAGAGCCACAGTCATTGTTAAAAACACTAGCAGATTATTCTTCAAGCTGGACAATTTAGCGTTTTGTGACAGACAAAATTGTGATAATTATTACAAAGAATAAAACAAATATGTGGTCTATGTTTTTTTATTTTGTACTTCCGTAACATTCGGCGGCACAACATTATTTTTAGTATGATAATGATGACAGTAAATCCAGAATAATAACCCGTGGCAATTATCTCAGTTCACATTGAAAATATCGCACGCAGTCGTGAACATGGAATAAGCACACAAGTTGAACAGCTCATTCATATGCTACGGTTTATCCCATATTGAAGGCATTCGGGAGAGATTTTCTGTAAGATATTTCGCAACCTTGTGAGGTTCTGCTAGCTTTATTTTATCCGACGGTAGGGTGCTGAGGGGGAAAATGCACATACAGTTCGATTAACTTATGCACTGTGTGTGAAGGGACACCTTCTAAAAAAATACCAATACAAATGTACCAATCTTTGAACTGTACTCAAACCCCATATGCTGCAGTGTCTAGACTCGAGAGAGGCCCTTAGTCGATTGTTTTTTTTTAGAGCACTCTGTATTCTCTGTGTTGAGAAACACAAACATGCAAACAACTATGTTGGTGATCGACAGAAACAATTTATGTTATTCCATTTGTGGCCAAAAATGTGGCTTGGACAATTCGATTAATAATAATTTGGATTTTCCAAGTGGTTTGTGTGTTGGAAAGTTTTGACCTAATTAATGGTGTGTTGTATTTGCTAAATATCCGAGCATTGTACCAATTTTAAAACAGTTCGTCGTGTGTTTGCTCAGTATGTCAATATTTTATTGGATAAATGTTTGCAATTAATTAGTGCATAATTTTTAAGTATCCGAGTGACAAATTGTCATTAATGTTACTCTAATCTTGCACTTAAAACGTATTAGTAATGTGATAAAGGACAAACTTGGCTTCATATTTTTTTAAAAACAAAATCATGTTTTCTCTCCCTGAACGCTCCGTAATATCCCCTTTACACCCAAAGTTGTGCTTTGCAGTATTTTTACTTGTAGATACAATAATTGCATTTCTTCTGAAAAAGGAAATAAAATGTTTCTGTGGAGTTGTGAAAGTGCCAAGGTGATATTTGTTACAAATACAAAAAAACGTTCACCATTTTTATTTTTATTTGAACAAGAACATAATAACATAGGAAATCACAAAACAGTATCAAGATACAATATACACTACACATATTACTGCAAAACTGGATTTTCATGTCAGTCACGGGAGTTGTTTTGACCCATACTCTACTGCACCGTACTGCCCAGTTTAGGTTTGTAAAGAGAGTGGCCAGGACTGGCTCGGATATCACTCATCACTGATGTGAGCCATGGCTGGGAATCAAACTCAGGTCGCCAGGTTCAAAGTGTGGTGCACTAACCAATGGGCCACTGCCTCACGCCTAATAATAATAATATAAAAATGTTATTAAAGTATATCACACCTGATGATGATTGCTTGTGTTGCAGTCGAAACGTCGTAAGAATGTTATTGTTTTGTATTTTTATTATTTTATTGTTTCCCTTCTACGTGACTTTACTGAAAGAACCAAGAATATGAATTCCTGCAGTCACGAAAGCTTTAAATCAAAATATATACATTCCGTTATAGAATGAAAACGCATTTTTTTGCATAGGCTTTCAAAACATATTCTGATTCATAATTTATCTCTTTTATGTGAGACAATTACCCCTCAACCACCCAACAGGACCAATCAAATCACATTGTCACGTGGTCAAGTATGTAAAGGCATTTTTTTTTAGCAAAACATGAATGTTAAAGGAAAGTACATTTTTTACGATTTGACTATCACAAAATTATAAATTTAAACGTGAAAACGTCAGAGTGGAATGCTGTATGATGAATTGGTTGCAGCAAATGAGTGATCATGTGTGGCTTTGAGCTACCTTCAGGATCCATAGATAAGTACTGATGGAATTCCTCGGCCCCGCCTTGGTTCTTATCATCGTAAAGCACACGTCCATTAAGGAATAGCATTCCACCTCTGACATAGTTTTTTTGTATTTGCTATATATTGTTAACGTTTATAGGACCGAGCAGTGGAGCTGAGCTTCAACATTTTTCTAGGAGTGCTGATTAAATAGGGGGACATGAGCATCCATCGTCAAGGGAGGAAGGCCGTTGAATAACCAAATGCCCCTTTCATCATACCTCTTGTTATATAACGTGATAATATTAGAAATTTCAAGATTATATTCATCATCATCAGCCATGATCAATTACTTCCACGTGAAGGACTCCCCAAGCCATCACCATCTGTCCTGCAATGTAAGAATCCACCTAGCACCGAGAAACGATCCGATGTCATTATTCCATGTCCGTGGCGGACGTAACCCTTGGACACAGCTCCTTGCTTTGGCTTCCACTCCGTCGTTATCCTTGTCCACCGACCATCATCCCTTCCGGCGACATGGCCTGCCCAAGTCCCCTTATTCTTCTTAACAATCAATAAGTTCTCATAATAAAGGTTTTTGGGTTAGATCGCGTTATTTATAAATGTGTCGTAACCCTCCACCACCCGACACGGCCAATCAGCAAAAAAAGTGTCACGTTGACAAAAGACAAATAATTCACTACTTTAGCCCACCGGTGTGTTGAAGAGTGAATCCACAACATTTACAGTTTGAATACGACGTTTCGCTGGTCATTACGGTTTAAAAAATTGTATTTAGTATCTCAGCGGAGACAACAAAAAAACAAAACAAAGCAAAGACCGAGGGGCCACCCCCTCGCTCGCGCCATAAAGGCCCCGCTCGGCCACCGACCCATCCTCTGGACCGGAGTCACCCCTGCCACAGCACTGGAGGGGCAGCCTCCCCTTCCAGTCACGCACACCTTCACCCCCGGACGCCGGCGAGGCCCCCCCCCCCCCGGCCGCCCTAGCCTACCCTGGGCAGCGGCCACTTCCATCTTTCCCTTGCGGCATCGCGCCCCATTTTCACCCGGTCCACCTCCACCACCCTTTCCAACAATCTCCTCGCAACATAAGACGTCTCCAACGGGGACATCAGGGAACCCTCCAGCTGCTTCTTTCGCGCTTTCCACAGCGTCTCCTTCGTCGCTCCTGTTACAGCCCACACCTGGTCCCTGTGCTCCCTCCCCACCCCCCGCAGCTCTCCCCACATGACGTTCCGTGCTGTCACCCTCGACAGCGCGAAACGGGCCAGCAACGGCTTACTCCTCCTCCAGACCTCCTGGGCAAAAGGGCCACGCCACCATCACGTGCGATGGAGTTTCGTCCGCGTTGCGGCACCTCGGACACTTGGGGTATGCGCCATTTGGCAGCTGTACAAGAAACCCCGCGTCTCCAACTTGTCCCGGACAGCCAGCCATGACAGGTCCCTCTGCTCCTTCGTGAGCACTGCCGACAACACATTCCTCCAAATCTTCCCGTGCATCTCCCTCCTCGCACCGGCCACCTCGTCACAGGCCTCCTCCTTCTCCGCCGCAGTCCGCACCTCCCTGGGAGCCCACCGGCCCCCCCACCGGTTCAGGCCGTGCTGCCCGACGTAGCTCCCCACCACGTCGCTGACCCAGCCCCCCGGCCAGTCCAAAGGAGAGCTCCTTCCTATCTCAGTCATCCCGAGCCCCCGCAACCGCCACGTCAGCCGATACCTCATATAGCACGCTGCCTTGCCCCGCGGCTCCGCAGAGAAAAACAGCCGCAGCGCGTTGCAGACAAAAGTCGATTGCAGGGTATACCCCACATTTGGGGCACCCCTCCCCCCATTCCCGACTTGCAGACACACCGCGGCCCTCCTTACTCTCTCCATCCCTCCCCCCCAGATAAACCTGAAAATCGCGAGGTCAAGGCCTTAGCCTCCCTCCCACCTGGCGGGAAAACCTGCGCCAAGTAGTTTAGGGATGGTAGTATTTCTGTCTTTACCACCATAATCCTACCGACCATCGTGAGCCGCCTCCCAGCACACTTACCCAGACAGCCCTTTGCCTTCCTCACCCCCTTCTGCCAGTTATTTTCCCCCATCCTATCCCCACAGAAGAACACCCCCAGTACCATTATCCCCTCTGTTTGTAGACTCAGTTCCGGCGGCCGACCCTCGAAAAGCCTCGAGTCTCCATAAACCATCAGCTCACTTTTCCCCACACTAACCTTCAATCCAGAGGCCGCGCAGAAGCTCCCCATTCCCTGCATTGCCCTCCATACCGATGCTACGTCCCTGCATAGCACGACCACATCGTCCATGTACAGGGTCACCTTTCCTTGCTCCTTGCTCCCCGGTATTACCACCCCCCTAATCCTTTGGTCATTCCTTATCATCTGCACCAGAGGCTCCATGCACATGACAAATAGTACTGGGGACATCGGGCATCCCTGCCGCACCCCAAATCCCACTGGAATGATCCCAGAGCGTCCCCATTTATCAGGAGCCTGGCTCTGAGCCCCCCATAATGTCGCTCCATCCACTCCACCAGGGGCCCACACACCCCCATCCTCTCCATCACCGCCAGCATGAATTCATGAGAGAGGCGGTCGAAGGCCTTGTCCAGGTCCAGACTTAGGATCCCCAACGGGCACCCCCTCTCTCGCCCTCAATCGCCTCCCTCAAAACCACCAAAGTGTCCGCGATCCTCCTCCCTGGGACCGCACACGTCTGGTCCGGCCCCACCACCTCACCCACCACCTTCCCCAGTCGCCCCGCGACTACCCTTGCCAAGATCTTATAGTCCGCATTCAGGAGGGTTATTGGCCTCCAACTTCCCAGGTCCCTACGGTCCCCCTTCCCTTTATAAATCAACATGTCCAGGCCCTCCCGCATGTCGTCCGGCACCCGCCCCTCCTCCAGAGTTTCCCTACAAATTTGCATAATATCCTCTTTCAGGAGTTCCCAGAATTGTATATGGAAGTCCGCTGGGATCCCGTCCGGGCCTGGGATCCTGTTCTTGTTCAGCCCCTTCACCGCCCCTTCCACTTCTTCCCATCGAATCCTCTCCTCTAGCGCCTCCGGGTTCTCAACCCTCTTCCTCAATGCCCCCAGAAGCTCCTCCCGCCACCCCCCATCTATCCCTTTCCTCTTATACAAATCCCCATAAAACTCTTCCGCTACACTAATCATCCCTTCCGTCGTCACCTGTCTACCCCTAGTAGGACTAACCAGCTCCCTCATTTCATTGTCTCCCTCCCTACCCACCTGGAAGAAAAATATTGTACACTGTTCCCTATCCTCTGTTGCCCTGACCCTCGCCCTATACACTAATTGCCTAGTCCTCTTTTCCAGGACTGAGGCTACCCTCCCTTTCAGCTCCTCTATCCTTTCTCCCACCGGGAACCCTAGCTCTAGCAGTCTATACAGCCTTTCTAACCTAGCGTTCCACTGTCTCAATTCCCTACCCACTCCCTTCCTCCTACTATAACGCTGAAAGAGCGTTCTTATCCTACCCTTAATCTGCCCCCACCACTCCACCCTCGTGGGGAAGCACACCTGCAGCGTCCTCCAGCTGGTATATGCTCGCGTGAAATCCTCCGCCACCTCCTGATCCACCAGCAAGCCCACATTCATCTTCTACACACCCTTCCCCCTCTTCACCCCACCTGGGATCACAAGCCCCGCCACCACCATTCTGTGATCCGAGAGGGGAAAAGGTTCCACCCCCGCACTTCCCACATTCACCTTGTCGGAGACGAAAATAAAGTCGATACGTGACTGTGTGCCCCCACTCTTATCCGCCCACGTGAACCCTGGCCGCGTGCCATGCACCCTCCTGAACGTATCCACCATCCCAAAGTCCTCCATCAACTCCCTCAGTTTCCTGGAAGAGGAATCTAACTTCCTCCTCCCATTTACCGACACCAGATCCGCCAGACACAACGGGCAGTTAAAATTGCCCCCCACAATGACCTGCCTCCTGGTGGCCAGTAGGCCCGCCAGGCTCTCCCACACCTCCGTCCTGTCCATACATCGTACCAGGGCATACACATTTATCAGCCGTAGCTCCACACCCTGGTAAGATGCATCTACACAGAGGAGCCGACTCGGTATTATTTCCTGGGTCCCTTCCACTCTCATTCCCCTTCTTCCTAGGAGGGTA